TTGGATTTTTTTCAGCGCAGGGAGCAAGAGCTGAAAACACAAAAATCAGTGGTTTGTGAATTTTCTACAGTCCCCGCTAAGGCACTTGCTGCTTCATATGAAGTCGCGTATCTGGTGGCTCAGTCTAAAAAGGCACACACTATAGCGGAGACTCTCATCCGTCCCGCAGCTGTTGCCATGACGAGGGCGATGCATGGGGAGAAGATAGCCAGCACCCTTTTAACCATCCCTATGTCAAATGATACCATGGGGCGCCGCATTCAGGAGATGTCAAATGACATTAAAGATCAGCTCATTGACAGAGTGAGAAAGAGCGGAAGGTTTTCCCTTCAAATTGACGAATGCACAGATGTGTCGGGAGATGCGCAGCTGCTGGCATTTGTGAGATACAGCTATGAAGGGAAAATGCACGAGGATCTATTATTTTGTTCATCAATGGAGGGAACATGCACTGGACGGGACATTTTCAACAAACTTGACTGTAACATACAAAAAGAGGGACTGAAATGGGAGAGCTGTGTGTCTGTGTGCACAGATGGAGCTGGAGCTATGCAGGGGGCAAGGAAGGGTTTGAGGGCCTGCGTTATTGAGGTAGCTCCCCGTAAAATTCCTCCAACTGTGTGATCCACAGGAAGCTCTCGCCGTGGGCAGTGCCTCGAGCCAGAGCTTCGTGACGTTCTACAAACATCAGTTAAGATGGTGAATTTCATTAAATCACGGCCGCTCCAAAGCAGACTCTTTGCCACCACTCTGTCACGAAATGGATCAGACCACGAAGCACTTCTCTTTCACACAGAGGTATAGAATGGCTTCTCATGGAAAAGTTTTAACTAGGTTATTTGAACTGCGTGAAGAGGTGCGCAATATTCTTTATCGGACTTGTGGTTCCCCCCTTGCTGACTATCTGACGAACCAAAAGTGGGTCGCGAGGTTGGCATATTTAGCCAGGCATTTTCGACAAATTAAACAGCCTAAACCTGTCCTACAAGGCCCAAACACAAATGTCCTTATTCTCTCTGATAAGATCACAGCGTTTAAGAGAAAGCTAGAGCGGTGGGCTGTGAGAGTGGAAGGGGGAGTGTTGACATGTTCCCGAAGCTTTGATGACTTTAATGGACAGTTACGATATAACCATTCAAGCGATGAAAGGAATAATTGCCTTCTCACCTCAGAAGCCTGCTTTGAAAACTTTAATAAGTACTTCCCAAGTGATGACACTCCGGAGAAGTAACGACTTGGATACGCCAACCTTTTGTCACCTCCACGGCGCACCACCTCCCATCAGAGCTGCAGGACGCCCTGTGGAGCTCTCCTCTGACCGAGCACTACAGACCGCTTTCAACGACAATACACGCTGGAGGAGTTCTGGTTGTCAGTAGCAACAGAATACGCAGCACTGTCAAAAGCTGCAATGGATGTACTGTTTCCATTTGCATCAACGTATCTGTGTGAGAAGACATTTTCTGCGCTGACATATATGAAAACAAATATAGATCACGACTCCTCAGAGTTGACAGCGATCTGCTGTGTGCCGTGTCTAAAATAAAGCCAAGAATGCAATTGCTCTGTTCAAAAGAAGCAAGCCCAGCCATCAACATTAAAAGAAGAAGCTATTGGCACAAAAAGTGAGGGTGAAACTATAAATTGATTTTTTTGGAACTTGGAGTTTGTAGGCCTAAATTATTATTAATTATTAATTAATTAATTATAATCTTCTTTTTCCTGTTTAACAGTTACGCAACACAACGTTTGAAATGAGTTTTGGGCTGTTTTCTCCCCCAAGGCTGTTCTGTTTCGTGCTTCCTACGATGTTAATAGTTTTTCTTTAAGAAAAAGAATAGTAAAGGTTACTTGTTTGCCATTCAAGGCGGCTATAACACAACACAATTAAAAATAAGAGAGCCCTATGATGGGAGGGTCGCGAAATTCTGTCTGTTATCTTCGTTTGAAAAGATATCGATGCTGATTTATGTTTTTCATCAAATTCAAAATTGTTTCAAAATAAAATAAGGAAACTATTACATGTCATGTGATCATACGTGCTTCTTTTGTAAATATAACGGTGGTGGGTTTATTTTTTTTATTTTTTTATTTTTTTTGGGGGGTGGGGGGGGTCGCGAACAGCAGTGCATGATAAATTGGGGTCGCTACTCAAAAAGGTTGAGAACCACTGGTTTAGACCACCAGCCCCAAGGGTTTTCAGAGACAGAGGGAACCCACTTGCCTTCCCAGATGAATATCTGTGGGAGAGATACCTGTTCAGCAGGCCTAGCACAGGCTATGTGATCTGCTGGAACCACACCTCAGTAAAACCACACGGCGGCGCCAAGCTCTGACCACTGTGCAGTTTGTGTATTGCACTGCAGTTCTGTGGTACATTTCTTTATAGTGTGGTAGATGCTGGGAGATAAGGAGAGTTTACCTTGCCCTGAAGCATTTTCTTAACATCTTTGTTACTTTCCCTGGACATAAGGAGTAAAAAGCATCAAAGTGACATTCTATACAATTGCAGGTATGTGACAGTCAAAGTAAACTCACATGTGAAGTAGTATTCAGGCTGATATGTCTGTTAATTAAGCCTCCCCTTAAGGCTTCCCCAATGTGATTGGTGCCATAGACTGCACTCATGTGCACATTCAGGCCCCAGCTGGACCTCTGGAGGCAGACTAGGTTAACAGGAAATCTTTCTATAGCCTAAATGTACAGGTATGTACGTAATGGGAGTAACTGTCCATAAACTGTCAGTCACAGGGATGTCCCTCAACCTAATAATGGCAGTGGTATTAACTCTTTTCATGAGTATGTCTTTATATTCTTCATAAAGCTCCATCAGGGGTGTTTGCGCTGCTGCAGGAAAAACCGGCACTCTAATTTTTCACTCTCTGTGCATAATTTCATTGTTTTTTCATGCAGCCATCCGTCAGGGCTTCTTATATAGTGCGGGGACGTGCACAAAGCCAGGCTATGCAAGCCTGTCTTTAGTCAGCCTTGATTAAACAAGGCTGGGTTGCTTTAGTTGAACAACTTGAGGCTTAATTGGGAGATGACGCTAGTTTCAGCCTGGGTTTGTCAGATGAGCCGGCCTTTCTTTAGCAGCGTTGATTGAATACCCCCCAGGTAATTTGACCTAGCTGTGTATCCCCTCCCTGCTCTCAGACATTGCCATGGTGACAATGTTGTCTGTCTTGCTGCCTACCTTTCTTCATCTCTGAAAGGCGTAGCACCTGGAAAACACTGGGTAATGTAATCCACTAGTCAGAATGAGCTCCAAAGGTAATCCACCAGTTAGAATATATGTAATGTGGAGTCAGATTGCAAACTGAAATTAACAGCCAAATGTTTCCTGAATAAAATTGTCTATCTGCCTGCCTTTCTCTCTGTTGAAGACACAGAGCTCATACAAATCTGTGGGAGGAAGGGGTCAGCGAACCTCTCAAACTCCTACCATTTACTACAAAATGGTGCATGATAACAGCAAAAGTATCAAATGGTCAGTGCCACAAGACTCTCCTGCACACCTCTATGTGGTGTTGGTGTTTCTAGAGCCAAAAGTGTGGAAATAGGGTATAGTCACAAAAAAGGGTCAGTTCAGGTTTTCTCCTGAAATCAGCTCCTGAATTTTTATTGCAGTCTATGAGACAGGTTCCTCCAATCAGATTGAGGCTGACATTTTAAATTCACATTCCGTGCAATGAAATTGTCATCAGCACCAGAATCAATCAGACATGGGGAACTGACCAATACATAGGGTAGCCTGAATTTGCATTCGCCATGAGTTGACTGATGGGGAGTCGGTTTGGTTCACCAGCAGCTCCTCATCTACTGGAGAGCCCCCTCTTTTGGCCGAATTGGGCAGGTGACAACAATATGGCCTGGCTGTCCACAGTATAAACACTCACCCGCCTTCATGTGTCTCTGTCGTTCAACAGGGGGAAGCCAGGCCCGCCCTAACTGCATGGCCTCTTCTCCTGGAGTAGTGAGGTTGGCCATGCTCGCATCACTTGTAGGGTCACATTTCAAATTCTGTTAGACTCTGTGCTAAGGCAGACACTTTGTATGACATAGTACGACTTTGTCTACTAATGAGGAAGAAATTATTTGTTCAGACAAAAATATGTGACTGTAAAGACAAGTAACGTTGTCATCCACTCCAGCCCTGAACATTCAGTGCAATACACACCTATTATAAAATCAAAAATGCAATGAAAAAAGCAAGAAACTAAAACTGTGATAATTCAAAATCTGTACAAGATATTATAAAGTTGAATACAGGTTTAATAGCTGAAAGTATTGTGAACAGTTTAAAGTTTGAATGAAGTCTGTATCTGAAAGTATGCTGAAGTAGTTAAAGTTCAAAGAGATGCCTTAAAAATGTAAAAATGAATGCCTCCGCATTCACACTAATAAAGATTTGAATAACTAATGTGAATGCCTCAGAATTCACTCTAATAATAATGATAAAGATTTGATTAACAATATTGTTAATTTGATTAACAATATTGTTAATCAAATAAAATAGTTAAGATGGAACCACAATGGAATGCAGAATGCTCTGAATAAATTCAAAATAGAAACAGAACCTTTAGAGAATCAAAAAGATGCATTCCTTATGTAATAGACTAATAAAAGCTCAAACATTGGTAAAAAAAAAAAAATTCAGAAGAGCAAAGATTTATGTCGGAGAGGATTCTGTTCAGATACTGCGAGAACAACACCTTTAGATAAAAGCAAAACAGAAACAAAATTGTTTATTTGGCACCAAGTCAAGATACAGAGGTTATGGGATCTGACATCTGTACAACAAGAGGTTTGAGTGGAAAAGACACTGGGGAACATTTTAAAACGATCTACACAGAAGACCCTGAGAATTATTAAAAAACAAAAAACATATCTTCACCCACAGGACACTGGACTGATAACAAGACTCTGATATACAACACTAGGTGGCGATAGTGCTGGATCAGGGTAAAACTCGCCATTAAAACATAATAGAAGAAGAAGGAGTGCCCGCTGTTACTAAACCAAACACATCGGCTGCTACTGGAGAGGACTTCGCCGTGAATCAGACAGAAATCAGGCAGACTGCAGTCACCCTCCACAGGATGAGTGGCATACGGACCATCCTGAGTACCGTTGGGGTGGTGGTCGTGATGGGGGTCGGCTTTGGGATGTGGTCCTTGATCGCTCCAGGAGAAGACAGGAGGAGAGAGCTGCTCAAGGTGATTCAGCTGAATGGCTCCGTGTAAACTGTGTTGGTTTACAGACTGTGTTACTGTACAGTCTGTTACTGTACTCTCTGTGTGTTACTGTGTTCTGTGTGTTACTGTACAGTCTGTGTTAGTGTACTCTCAGTCTGTTACTCGTAGTCTGTGTGTTACTGTACTCTGTGTGTGTTACTGTACAGTCTGTGTTACTGTGTGGTTTTAGTTTTAATAGCTTTTTAAAAGCATTAGTGAAGGAACACAGACACTTAAACACATTTGATTGTCTTATAGCAGGATAACCACACAGCCACAGGATTTTTAGGCCAATCCTATTCTATTTGTACAATACCACTACATGGTATAAACAAACTGACAGAGACATAAACTGTGAACATCATTTATCCAACAATATGTCAAAGTGTGACATTAACAAAGTTCAGCTTTATTCAGCTGTGGGGTTGTCCACATGCTCATTGTCTATACCAGTGGTTCCTAACCTGTGGGCCAGGAAGGTTTTTCAAGTGGGCTGACAAATCATTTGCAAACCACTAAAATTTTGGGGAAAAGATTATATATACAGTATTTAGATTATATATACGGTATGTAGTAATGGTTTTAAATGTTTTAAAATGAAATAATTTTAAAAATAAAAATCCTTATAAACTTCTTTCATTTTTGGCTGGACTGCAACAGTGGGGTCAGCCCTCACTGACTGACTGACTGACTGACTGACACTGCTCTGGTTTCCCCACTGCTCAGGAACTGCAGGAAGAGGAGGAGCACTTTCAATACACTGATCCTCGCCTCCTTTATAGCAAATACCTACTTTGCTTTGATTCCATGTATCATAATTACTAAAGGAGGCAGAGTAATAACTAAACATAAGACACACCAAGCAGAGAGAGCTGCTTTCTCTCTCTCTCTCTCTTTTGCTTAGACCCTGTGTGTAGGAGGGGCGGGGGCAGCTCTGTGTCATACGCTGAAGCACAGTGCAGCACAGACACACAGGCCCTGCTTTTAGTGTCTATGGCAGAGAGAATTAACCGTTCAATTCGTGGTTCAGTCTTTTGCAGGTAAGGGCGGAAACACAGGCGACTTCTGGAAACATCCAGTGAAAGTCTGTCATATACAGATGAAGAAATATTACAGTTGTTGGCTGACTAGTGCGTAGTTCATCTGTTGTTGCATCGGGTGTGTTTTGTATGGGGCAGCCTGGAGCACAGAGTTAACAGCATTGTATGAACATGGGTTAATGATGAACATTAGTCAGCTGATCTTTATGGGTAAAGTCATATTATATTCATATGCATAATCATTTATATGCAGAAATTCACTTTCAGGTCACGTCGAGGATGGATGGGGGAGTCAATAAAAGTAGTAGTACAATTAAAATCTTAAAGATACCCACCACTAGGGAGGGCGAGAGAGAAGTCATCGGTAACAAAGCTTCGTACTAACGACAATGACCAACCGTACATATCAACCAGAGGGAGTTAGACATAAAGACCTGCCTCTAATAAAAGTCTGTGATGTTCTGGAGTTGAAGTAAATAAAGACTAAACTATTGTGGATCCAGGCGGAGGCTGTGCTCTGTGTCAGAGACAAAATAAGAAAGATAGTCGTTCTCTTCTAACTTTTTTTCTCTGATCATGTTACAGTAAATCCAGCTAAAATCACACCTCAATCTTTTTCTTTCATTTATGTGTTTGGTGATTTTGATGACGTCACAGTTTAAAATAAGGATTTGACCAAAGGTACAGACATGTACTAGGTTTAGACCTGGTTGGGCTGTCACTTTTTATTCGAAATTCGAACATTTGGTCGAACGTTGGGTGAAAAGTTCATATTCGAGCTGTAATGACCTGTTTGAAATGTAGGCTACAGTCTCTATAAGTGCATCAGACCATTGGCAGGCAATTGTTGATAAAAAGAGAGCCGAACTTGATCCAGATCGTGTTGATAGACTTGTGTTTCTGGCAAATGATGTGAGAAAGTAGTTCGGACCGTTTGGCTTGACTATCGATTCCATGTTTTACCTTGCTACATTTTTAGTTCAAAGGTGTTGGATCCCCCCTCCTGTTGCCACGTGTGCCACCCCTACCCTCCAACTGTGCTCATCTGAGTGACATGAAGTCTCTCTGTCCATTAGTCATTTTTTTCAGTGTTTTCAGTAGTTCATGAAATGATGAGAATTGCAATTAAGATTTTTTTCTCATACATTTCTGATGCTGGGTTTACCTTTACATTTTTGTCTTTGCAGGTGTTAAACATCCCATTAGATATGTGCTGTATACAAGACAATGTATACAAGCTGCTGTATAAAAATTGCTTTAAATAACACGCTGTATACAATACACTCTATACAAAACGCTGTATACTATACGCTGTATACAAGACGCTGTATATAAGTTGCTGTATACAAGCTACTGTATACAAGATACTGTATACAAGACGCTTTATACAAGATGTATAAAAGATACTATATACAAGATGCTTTATACAACATGCTGAATACAAGACGCTGTATACAAGATGTATAAAAGACGCTTTATATAAGCTGCTGTATACAAGATACTGTATACAAGATGTTGTATACAAGACACTTTATGCAAAATACTGTACAAGACACTGTAAACAAGCTGTTGTATACAAGATACTGTATACAACACGCTGTGTACAAGATGCTGTATTCAAGCTGCTATATACAAATTGCTGTAAACAAATCGCTGTAAGCAACATGCTGTATACAAGACGCTGTATAAAAGCTGCTGTACACAACACGCTGTACACAACAAGCTGTACACAACACGCTGTATACAAGAGGCTGTACACAAGCTGCTGTATACAAGACGTATACAAGACACTGTAAACAACACGCTGTATCAAAGATGCTGTATATAAGCTGCTGTATACAAGATGTGCAGGTCAAAGTGATATTGCAGTTTTTCCTATGTAATACATTTGCAAAAATTTCTAAAATTCTGTTTTCACTTTGTCATTGTGTGTTATTGAGTGTAGATTGATGAGGGAAAATGATTGAAAATTGAAAAAGTGATTTTAGCATAATATTGAAGGGATCAAAAGAGATAAAAAAAAACCTACTATATAGAAAATATATATAAAAATAGAAAATAGTAATACAGTATGTACCTGAAGTTGTATTAACAAAGGAGGTTCAACAGATATTAACTTCTATTCATTTTCATGAAGATATCTGTAAAAGGGACATAGGGTCTATTGACACAGCACAGTGAGTTTGTTGCAGTCTGCTGGTTTAGATTTTAGTTTGAGTTTTTTGTCCATCATGACTCAGTCATCTTGAGCTCATCTTTGTAAGTTAATAACAAATTCACAAGGTCAGAGTCTGGTGGTACTTTCTATCCCTCTATAAATCTGTAAATCAAGAAGTTGTTCATCATCATGAATTCTTACATATTAGTTACAGTTATGTACAAAGGCTATTTTTACAACTTACAGGAAAATGTAAATTTCTTAAGTTCATTAAGTCCTGTAATTTGCTTGAGAAAGCATGAGGTCAGCGTTTTCTTTATTTGGTTTAATTTAGTAATTAATGACATGTGTCTTCCTGTTGCTGTGCTACTCATCAGAATCTGCCTGAGTCAAACCCGGTCCGAATGGAAGAGACGAGGAGGAGGAATGCTCTGGTGATGCAGGTGCTGAAGGAAGCAGCTGAGACTAATGACAACATCGCAAGAAGAATCGGAGGATCTGGGAAATAGACTGATTTTCATTTATTGATTACTGCTGGCATTCAGGCCTACGACCTGTTTAAATAAAGATGGACATTATTATTTTTTGTCTAACTTGCAGCTTTAATGTCTGCATTTATGTGAATAATTTACCACTGAATGTTAAGATTGTTCTCTCAACCCAAACACATCTTTTCAGTTTTATTGGAAGCTCAGTGATGATCAGGTTATGAACAGTGTTCACACATGAGGTTTAAAGACAGGTGATTTTTATTATATTTTTTATTTCCTCCAAATCCCATAAAAAGACTAAAACATGAATGAGTCCTGCCAAGTATAGTACTGTGTGTCTATAAAATTCTATTACTCACCTGTGCCATAGAAAACCAGTAAAAACACATTGAGCCACATGGTTGCAGTGGATGTCATGGCTGAAGGGGGGTCAGCTGTGGCTCAGTGAGAAGAGAAGGACACTTAACCCCAAATTGCTCCGATGGTTTGTTAAATTCCTTGTGTGGCAGCTCTTCAACCATTGTGTTATTTTTTATTTGTGTGAATGTTGCACTCTTAAATAGAAAGGACTCCATCTCTGGCAACTTTATTCTCCCCGGTGCGGCATATGTTTTTTTGTGTTTTTTTTTAATATATATTTTCTTTTAAGAAGTAACCGGAGCTTGCAGCACAATGTCACAAGAAGGAAAACATGACGCACCTTGGCACCAACTCATGACGTAAAGTGTCGCAAAAACTGTGATACACTGAAATCGAGCAAAACAATAATCAAAATATTCGAAACAGTTGTTTCTGAAATTAAAGCATCGAACAAACAAATAACGATTAAAATCTTCTATTAATCTTGTTGAACTAAGTTTAATCTAAATGTTTGACTTTTCTAGCAGCTAACTACAGTTATGGCATTTTTCAACAATAGAAATCAAACATTCCTCAGATAGTTGGTCCTTACTGATAAGTAGTGTTGCTTTCGTCAACGAAAATTATGACTAAATATCTTCGTCAACGAACCTTTATCACGTGACGAAAACGAGACGAGACGCAACGTAAATGCTGGTCATGTGACGATAACTATAATTAAATATATAATGCAATATTGTTGACGAATAAAAACGAGACTAAATGTGGTTTACAAAATAAAAACTCTGCTAAAATGTCTCTTCATTTTCGTTGACTAAAACGAGACGAGACGAAATGTTATAACGTCATTTTGACTCGTTTAGTCGAGTTATTATTATTTTGCAGTATTTCTGTTTCCTGTGTCTCACTTCATCAGGTCGCACTGCGCCGACGCATGCGACATCACTTCCTCAATCCCCACTCGCGGGCGGCATTTAGAAGTTGCAGCTGCGGTTCAACGACAATTTCAGAAACATAACACGACAGAGAAAAGGACCGATGGCCGGCAGCCAGTCGGGGTTCTTCTTTGGAAGAAAAAGACGAAATGACATTTGGACACACTTTCATTACATAGAGGTGGGAAAAAAACAGAATGTGTTGTGGAAAAAGATGGGGAGAAATGCGGCCACAAAATCACAGGAAAACATGTTTGTTGTATAACACCCGCCTATGTACATATGGGGGGGGGCTGGGTTATTCTTATGATATTCCCTTTGTTTTATGCTTTAAACCAAATAAAAAACCACACAATCCCAAACTTGAAATGTAAAGACTCTTTAGTCGTAAATGTTTACGCTCCAAACAAATAACAGAAAATTACATAAGTCCCTTGGGTTCAGTGATAGTGTTAATATTCAACAGAAATAGTACCCGTTTAACTGTTATTCAGTCTCTTATGTCCAAATATCACATAAAATGAAAAAAAACATTAAATTAAGGAATATGATGGACCCACACGCACTCACACACACACACACTTGATCCACATCAGTCTGTACCAGTTATTGAACCCCCCTGTTGCAGGCCTGTGTGGTAGCTTGGGTGCGTTGTGGCCTAAAACAAACTGGCCGCTTCACTTTTATCAAGCAGAAGAAAATAAAAGGCATGTGCAAATCCAATACTCACAGCTCCCGACAGTTAGTAGGGAAAAGGCATGAACAGATCACCGCCAGGGCGCAGCAGCAGCAGCTCACACACAGTCCAAGCGGGCCGACTCGATCCACAGCTCACACACACAGCAAGAAGGATGCAGATCCTACGTAGTTCCCAGGAGCTTTGCTCCCCTCTTTAATGCCGTCAAAACGTCCGTCTTCTCCTCCTCCAAGATGGTCACAAAGTTCTTCACGTCAGGTAAACTGGTCGTTTCCCCACAAAAATAAAACTCTGGTCCACCAAATCACTCCAGCACGGACTCGGTCAAGGTAACTCGTGTCCCTCTTCAACTCGCTCTGCTCACCTCAATCAAACATCTCGCTATGTCCCACCCTCTCACCTACAGACTGTTTTACAATTGGCCAGAGTTACTTGAGCTATACTCGTGCCAATACTGTCAAAGAAATGAATGATTGACAACTCCTAAAACAAGTAATAATACATATGTCACAAACACTGTGAAATGGCATAACTTGTACTGAACAGATCACTTATTTTGCATTTTTAACTTGTTCTGCATGTTAACCATATTTATACTGTTTTTACCACTTCAATACATAATGAACTTTTATGAATTATGAATATTTATCATCAAAATAAATCAGTCGTTTCAGCAAGGGCTACAGTTGGTAAAATAAATATGTTGTAAATTCAAATCAGAGCGTCTTGTGTGTCTGGAATGGATGTATTCTTGAGTCTATAAGGTAACAATAATATAATAATAAGATAACCTTGTTTGAACTGTGAAATGGGTTTGGCTAAAAGAAAATTTTGTTTTTTTCTATACTACTAGGTACTTATACTATACTGGGTTAAATAGAATTGCATTACTTGAAAGAGACTAAAATAAAATTTTCATTGACTAAAACTAGACTAAAATGTCATCAGTTTTCGTCGACTAAAACTAGACTAAAATAGTCATGGATGATTCTGACTAAAATAAGACTAAAATGCTCAGACTTTTAGTCGACTAAAACTTGACTAGACTAAAAAGAGTATGAACATGACTAAAACTAATAAAAACTAAAATGACAGCTTGACACAAAGACTAGACTAAAACTAAAATTAAAACAGGCTGTCAAAAACAACAGTACTGATAAGTAGATAGATAGATAGATAGATAGATAGATAGGTACTTTATTTATCCCCCAGGGGAAATTCATGTGTCCATTAGCTCATTGTTGATAGTAATAATAGCCTGATGGCAGTGGGAACAAAGGATCTCCTGAACCTGTCTGCTATGCAGCACAGTGAGATGAGACGTTTGCTTCCTAGCTGCTTCACTGTCTTGCCAGAATGTTGCGGAGAGAATGGTTGGTATCGTCTGAGATGGCCTCCATCTTACATTGCATGCATCTCTCCACAACACTCTTGAGTGAGTCCAGGCTCCTGCCAAGCACAGACCCAGCCTTTTTGACTAGAGTTCCCACAAATGTGTTGCTTTGCTTTCGAAGATAAGGGGTGTATTATGTTTTTGTACTTGATTTGATTTAGTTGAACATAATTGTATTTTTCAAACACTGGAACTTCTTGTTTTCTTCTTTTCTTTCTTCTTGACTCCTAAATGGTATTTTAAGGGGTTCTACTGGTTTGAATTCCCTGGTCTGTTTGTTGTAGAGAGGAGGACACTTCCGTGGATAATTCAAAGAAACAATGAAAACAAAGGTTAGCATCAATCTCAGCTCCAACTCTTCGTCTCTGTCCTCCGTACAGCGGCGGTCAAACACTGAATTTAAATGTGAAACTGCTTTATTCATTGTTTTTAACAGTTAGAATCACCGGGTCGGGGCGTCGAGTGGCGCAGTGGTCTAAGCAGGCGCCCCATATGTAGAAGCTACAGTTCTCGCTGCAGTCGGCCCCGGTTCGACGGCCCTTTACTGCATGTCATTCCCCCTCTCTCTGCTTCCCCATTTCCTGTCTCTCTATACTATCCTGTCCAATAAAGGCACAAAAGCCCAAAAAAATATACTTTAAAAAAAGAATCACCGGGTCTGTTTGATTTCCTGAACCACTGGCACTGAAGGAATCCGGGAGGAGCTTACGGTAATGGTGGTGAAGACAACAACTCCCATGATCATGACGTCACCCAACGCCGTCTTTTGTTATTGTTTTGATAGAGGGACCCCTACAGGGAGAAGTTACTGTCTTTGCTTTTAAAAAAGAAAGATAAAGTGTGACAGAGGGGATTATTTAAAGCAGTTTATCTTTAAAAATCACACTCTTCAGTGGACACAGGACAGGATGTCTCTAGCGGCTGGGAGCTGAGTTGTCTAACATTTACTCAGCTTGTTTCTCCGATAACTTCAGATCCAGACGTCCGATGACTAAAATCCTTCATCTGGTTCATATATAGAGTTGTCAGACAAACACAACACTGACTCGTGATTATAGAGGATATGATGACATTGACAGGCCACCAATGAAACATTGCCATGATTAAAATCACAGATTTCTCTGGTTTGAGAATTGATGGAAACATATGTGATACTGTAAGAACACAACTCAGCAATGTATAGAACATAGGTCTAGTTGTTTTTAGACATTTAAATGTGGAGAAGTCAAGGAGTATAACTTTAACTCAATATAATTTTATTGTAATTTACTTTTATTTATTTCTTAATTGAAGTTATTTCTTTGGTTTATCAATATTTCTACAGGTCATGTGCTCAGATGTGTTGTAATGACGTCATGTCATATTGTACAGCTTCATGTTTGAACTTTTGTTTTCAATAAAGTTTAGGAAAAAAATAGGCAGAACTGTCACCGGAAACTCTGCCATCTTTCCGATTCCTGTCCAGAGACCCGCACCACTTCACCTCATCATGTAAGCATTAACATTTTAAAAAAGATCAACTTCAAACCTGTTTGTGACGGTTTGGTGTTTAATGGAAGAAGACGTCGATGTTTTACTGCACAGCTGTCATTGTACAGTGGTTAGAGAGAGCTATTGTCCTGCTTCTAAGGACACAGCGTACATGTGCTAACGTTAGCTCCCGCGGCTAAACTACAGATAGCGTTTAGCTAGTTTAGCTAGTTAACGTCCGTGATGGAGACAGGTGCGGTGTTATTAGAGGACCACCTGGTCGATCAGCTGGCGCCTCTCCTTGGTATGTGTGACAGTGTTAGTGAGGTTACTAGAGGCCATATGACTCCAAGCTGAAACTGTCTGAAGTCAGTGAAACGCAGTTGAAGCATCAAACGTAGAAAATGAGGATGTTGTTTGTATTGTCCAGTTCTAGACCTGAACACCTTACCAGCCTCGACAGGTACGGACCTACTGTTGTACTAAACACTGGCTCCAGCTGTGCACGACAAGGGAACCGTTGCTTTTCAACTGAGGCCATTTCTTAGCGATGTTTGCAGATCTTCCGGGGTCGATTAGCAGCCCTTAGCACTCCTCTGAAGTCGGCCTCACTCTTATAATCCTCACACACTTCTCTGAACATCTGGATGAGAAATGATCAGCCACTGCACGGTGTAAACACTTTTTTAGTTTGGATTAGAAAGCAGCTTCTGGCGTGGTTATTTATCTAGAGAGGAACAGACTGTCCACAGCTCACTGGCTTCAGGTCTTTCAGTCTGAGAAGAGTTTTTAGTGTGTATAAATCCAGTCTGCCACAGAGCCGTTTGTACACAAGTTATTTCTTTACAGGAGGTGGGATGATAGAAATATTACATGCACTAATCAGGCAGCACATTATGTGTGTTTCTTTTTCCCCATAACCCAGTAAAAATTGCAACCCCAGCAACCTGCTGTGTTCAGCGCACATAATTCCTCTGATTACCTGTCTATCTGATTTTAGTTAAGGTGAATTTTAAGTATAGTAAACAATTTTACCCAGGGTCACCCATTAATGTGTTAAAAATGTCATCAAATCAATGAAACCCATATAACAAATAAATACTTTGATGATGAAACACAAAGATGTTTCAGACTGGTCTGTGGTGTTGGTCCAGTCTTTTGTGTGTGTGTGTGTGTGTGTGTGTGTGTGTGTGTGTGTGTGTGTGTGTGTGTGTGTGTGTTGTGGCGCGCGCATGTGTGCGCAGGCAGAGAGAGAGAGACAGATCTCTCCTCTTCTGTCAGAATAGCGAAAATATGCATACATAGACGGATATTTGACGGAGTTGGTGAAATATATGTGCAAGATAATCTAGCAAAGAAAAAAAACCCAAACAAATGCGACTACTCCAGTACCGATAGCAGAAGTTAAGGTCAGAGCTTATTGATACTGCGGTCTTGAATAATGTAGCCCTGGGGCCTGTTCAATACTCATCCCTGATCTGAAGTCTGACTGTTAGATCTAAGACACAATCTGTCTGTGTAAAACCAGCTCCTGATGTTCCCACAGCTTCTTGAATTTTTCAATGGCTACAATTCTGTACCGAATGATATTTTTATCTGCCTGCCTTTCTGTTATTCGTAAGTCTATCTTAATACAATATTTACATGTACCTTGACAGAGTTATTGGTCACTGTCCTCACAGACTTTAAAGAGACGCCTTCAAAGTGCAGAGAGACAAATGGTTCTTTAAGGACCCTCTCATTTGAATGAGAGGTTTCATGTGCAGTTCAACCCAAAGACATCATCTCCACAGAGAGTGACTAGAGTAAACTGCCTTTTAAATGAACACCTGAGGGTGGTGTCTGATCTGACTTTTAACCCCCGTCTCAGCAGAATGCCAAAATCAAAGGAAGTGCTGTCTTCCACATCTGGAAGTGACTCCGACAGTGAAGTGGAGACCAAGGTTTGTGTTTTAATACTTCAAATGTTTTTGTACTTTATCCATATACTTTGAATGTGTCTTAGCATCAGAGATGAAGCACTGTAAGCAGATCTTATTTTGAGATAGATGATGTTTGGCGACTGTTGTTTGGTTTGATGTTTGGTGAGTGGTACTCATTTCAGAGATGGATGGTCCAAAGGATGAGCAGCTGTTTGTTTAAAACACTGTTACAGGAGTTAGCTGAAGTTACAAAGTTACACTCTGTATAAATCTAATTACACAGGACACAGTAAGGAGCTGGAATACTTCGAAATAAAAAATGTCTTTTTTTTTTTTTTTTTTTTAGGCAAAGAGAAAGAAGTCAAGTGCACCAGAGAAAGCAGCCAAGAAACCAAAGAGTGGAGAGAGCTCCAAGCCAGGTGGCTCATCCAAGGGCAGCAGTAATGCTGATGACAACATGTTCCAGGTGGGTATCACAGGTAGTTTCAGCTTTTTAGATAGAAAAATTTAAACTTTCAAGGAATCGCATTTAGTTTCAAGCCATTTCAGTGATTTGTTAAGTAATTTTCGAAAAAAAAGATTACTAGCTACTAGCATAGAGATACTAGCTATTAGCATGTTAAATTTTACATTCATGAAGTTTAATTACTTAAATAGACCAGAAGATGAAATAATAGTAATAATAATTTGGTAATTTGGTTGTAATTCACTCATACACAAACTGCTCATACAGTAAATACACGGCACCAAGTTCAGCTGGGCTGTATTTTATCACTGCTGAGAATATTTTAGGTTCATAACTTAAAGATTTAGTGTGGATGGCGTATTAAAAATGTTCTGTGGAGAAGTCCTGTCAGTTACTTGTATAGGCCAGTATCACAAATTACAACTTTGGCTCCATGGAATTCACAGTCTTTACAGTGTAAAAGGTCTCCATTGTTGTTGGACAGCACATCTTATGAAACGGCTCATTTGGATTCACAAAAAACTCAGGAAAAACTAGGAAGAGCATATTTGGGCTGGTAAGCATGCAAGAGTTGATAGATCATTATTACAAAGGAGCAGGTCCCTTGGAGGACTTGGCCTTCCTAGTTTCATCGGCTACTACTTGGCAGCTAATGCCCACAAGATTATGCTTTGGTGTACCTCAGCTCAGAGCAACTGGTGCCAGATTGAAGCTAAGTCATGCTCCTCTGCATACTGAAAATCTGGGTACAAATTAGGTGCCACCTCAATTGGCTCACTCTCCCCCAGACAACTCCTATTTGTAATAATCATTTATTCTTACCTGCTAAATTTGACCCTTGATTATGTCCTTTGAGTGGAGCGGCCTCTGCTATCTGAAAGACATGTACAGTGCAGTGAAAGTATTCACAACCTTTCACTTCCCCCACATTTTGTTATGTTACAGCCTTATTGCAAAATGGATTAAATTCCTTTTTTTTCTCATCAATCTACACATAATACCCCCAAATGACAAAGCGAAAAAGGTTTTTTAGAAATTCTTGCAAATGTATTAAAAATAAAAAACTGAAATATCGCATATACATAAGTATTCACTCCCTTTGCTATGACACTCAAAGTGAGCTCAGGTGCATCCTGTTTCCACTGATCAACCTTGAGATGTTTCTACAACTTGATTGGAGTCCACCTGTAGTAAATTCAATTGATTGGACATGATTTGGAAAGGCACACACCTGTCTATATAAGGTCCCACTGTTGCCAGTGCATGTCAGAGCAGAAACCAAGCCATCAAGATCTGGGGAAGGGTACAAAAAAATTTCTGCAGCATTGAAGGTCCTGAAGAGCACAGTGGTCTCCTCATTCGTTTGGAACCACCAGGGCTCTTCCTAGAGCTGGCTGCCCAGCAAAACTGAGCAATCGGGGGAGAAGGGCCTTGGTCAGGGAGGTGAACAAGAACCCGATGGTCACTCTGACAGAGCTCCAGCTTTCCTCTGTGGAGATGGGAGAACCTTCCAGAAGGACAACCATCTCTGCAGCACTCCACCAATCAAGCCTTTATGGTAGACTGGCCAGACGGAAGCCTCTTCTCAGTAAAATGCACATGACAGCCCGCTTGGAGTTTGCCAGAAGGCACCTCAGACCATGAGAAACAAGAATCTCTGGTCTGATGAAACCAAGATTGAACTCTTTGGCCTGAATGCCAAGAGTCCCGTCTGGAGGAAACCAGGCACCTCTCATCACCTGGCTAATACCATCCCTACGGTGAAGCATGGTGGTGGCAGCATCATGCTGTGGGGATGTTTTTCAGCGGCAGGAACTGGGAGACTAGTCAGGATTGAGGGAAAGATGAACGGAGCAAAGTACGGAGGTCCATGATGAAAACCTGCTCTAGAGCGCTCAGGACCTCAGACTGGGGCTGGTTGGTTTACCTTCCAACAGGACAACGACCCTAAGCACACAGCCAAGACAACTAAGGAGTGGCTTCGGGACAAGTCTGTGAATGTCCTTGAGTGGCCCAGCCAGAGCCCAGACTTGAACCCGATTGAACATCTCTGGAAAGACCTGAAAATAGCTGTGCTGACGCTCCCCATCTAACCTGACAGAGCTTGAGAGGATCTGCAGAGAAGAATGGGAGAAATACCCCAAATACAGGTGTGCCAAGCTTGTAGCTTCATACCCAAGAAGACTTGAGGCTATAATCACTGCCAAGGGTGCCTCAACAAAGTACTGAGTAAAGGGTGTGAATACTTATTAGGGCTGTCCCAAACGATTATTCTTTAAACGATTAATCTAGCGATTATTTTTTCGATTATTCGACTAATCTAACGATTATTTTTTTTATTAACCTAACAGTAATTTGCGAGTAGTGTGCGAGCCTTTTTTGCCGCGTGTTGCTCCACACGCTCCGTCGTACTGCTGTTAGACGCCGCCATGTTGTTCAAATAGATTACACAGACGCAAATCTTTTTTTTTTTTTTTCACAGATGCAAATCATTCACGTAGTCAATGACTTC